TTTATCACCTCGGCCTAAAAGAAAAGAGCACCGCGGAGAGCTCGGAACGAATGTGTTTATTCACTGACTGGTCGCGCTCACGCAATCACTAAACAGCGCTGCGAGATCCAGTGACAAGCGCACGAGTTCTCCGATTTAAAAAAATACATGTATCTGTTATTTAAACTAGTTTAATGTCTGATCAGACTACGCTTACATTATCAACAGCACTGACGTGGAAAACAGGAGAAGGCTTTCAAGTTAGAAGGCTTTCAAATATAGAAATCGCCAGCATTTAACGTTACCATGAGTTTACTGTAACACTAACTGTCTGTAACCATGTTATTGTGGCAGAAATGTAGGATGTTCATATTTAATTTTATTAAATTCTGAATGTGTAGGCAAGTATTAAAGGAGTAATGGAAGATAATTACAGTATTACAGTTATTAAGCTATATCAGTTTTTGTGTTATTTGTATTGCATTTGTATAGAGTAGTCAATCAAAAAAACATAATTAACTGTCTGGTTTCTACTTTTCACAACTTTCACCCAGGAGCAAAAAATCTGCCACTAAACTTGAAAGAAATAAAGATTTGACATTTATCATGGCAATTATCAATATCGACTGATGAAAATTCTATAGTGTTTTTTTTAGCTATACCGCCCAGCCCTATTTCCAAGGTATAAACACGTTTGAGATACTAACTTCCTGTAAGAACATCGGAGTGGTGTTCAATTTCCTGTTTTCCTCCGACAGCAGGACTAGCAGACAGGCGGTTATCCTGAAGCAGGCAGGAAGAGAGCCTTGTCATAAAGACTCATTGAAGTATGCTGGTAGGTTAAAGGGATAGTTCACCTAAAAATGAAAATTAATTTACTCACTATACTTCATAAGACCTCAATGTATCGTCAGGAGCCACAATATTAAATTAGTTTTTCCTGTGTATGTTTTTTTGACTCTCATAGTGCCAGTAGCCTTTGACCTGCATTATATGAATCACCAAGGACCACAGTTTCAGCTAAAAATCTTCTTTAGTGTTGAACTGAAGAAGAAAAGTCACCTACATTTGGATGGCTTGAGGGTGAGTAAATTAACAGCAAATTTTCATTTTTGAGTGAAATATCCCTTTATTTTGCACCTTTTGAAATGTACGCGAGTTTGGAAGCATGTGAATCAATTTTAATTTGTTGATGTTTATTCATCATGTCCGATGATCGCAGCCATGATCCTTGATGTGTTCAATGTTCCCTAGGGCAGAAAGACCTGCAGCCTAAAATACAGTCTTTGGCAAACCTATTTGGTAAAAATGTAAAAATAAAAAAACATAAAAAAACTTTTTTTTTGTTTTTGCACACTTTGAATAGCTACTACCATCCACAAATACTGTGCAAATTTCTATGCTCCATACAGATTCACATTTTGGTGACGGTTAAAGTGTTTCTGTTGAAAATGTGACTTAACAATATGAGCTTATAAAAGTATTGTTTCTGTTAAATACATTAATGTAGGTGACAAACATGTCTGTTGTTGTTCAGTGTGCTTTTAATTGTTCTGATACTCCAAGTATTGTAATTGTATTTTTTTTTTTTGATTGAATGTTATTATGCAGTTAAGTCAGTATACATCATCGAAATTCATCAATGTTGCATAACCCAAATAAAGTTGTTGATGTGAAGAAAAAATTGTTTTAATGATTTATACATTTCTTAAAGCCAATAAACACAACAATATATAAACTGGAACATTTGAGTTTAGTCTGGTTGCCTTTTAAGTTATCTGTACTTAAAAATATCAGTTAATTCAATGAGAAAGACCACATTAGGTGAACTCAATTAAACTGAGTTGTCAATTTCCCATTACTCAATTAAACTGAGGGAATCACTTATTAACTTGTTAGGGTTTACAGTGTAGTAAATGGGGTCACACTCTCTCTGTCCTGTGCACACACACACACACACACAGTTTCAACTGTATGCATTTAGCTTGCTTTGCATGGAGATTTTAGGGAGCTAAATATTTTTGATATTATCTTTCTCTCTCTTTCGTGTGGCTTTTAAACAAATAAAACTGAAGGCAATGCAGACGTCACTGACTAACAGGTTAAACAGCTCCCTCTTCAGATCTCAGAAGAGAGATAATGAGACATGGAGAAGAAAAAAAGAGAAAAGAGATGAGGAGAGGAGAGGAGCAGATGGAAAGCAGGGGGTTTCAATACAAGTTTAATTATTTAAAACACCAGATTAAGAGAAGTAAACGCAGGGTTCCGGAGAGAAGTGCATAATTGTCTTGTGCACTAATTAACATGGCTGTCTGGATACAGAGTCGAAAAACACAGGAACAGGGTTAATCTACGGGAAAAAAAACCCTATTCACACAAACAGCTAACCCAGATGCATAGCTATACCATAACAGCATGAGCCTGCCTTATACACTCACTCATAGAGATGGCAGTGACTACACAATATCCTACAAGCTCCACACAGGTTATACAGGTTATACAGTCACTAGCTGTGTTCCAACCTAGTGAGCTGCCTACTGTACCTACTGTAGACTGCACTGCATAGCACCATAGGCGCACCGACGACAGGCCAAAAGTGACACCTTTTGGTCAATCTAAGGCAACAGTACATGTATTATCAGAAAAGACAATTCCAGAATGTTCAGAAAGTTTGAGGTTGGTAAGATTTTTGAAAATAAGTTTTTTGAGAAAAAAAATAAAGTATTTTATGCACACCAAGACTGCAGCTGTTTGATCAAAAATACAGAAAAAAACAGTAATATTGTGAAATATTACCATTTTCCAAATTTGATATATTTTAAAATGTAATTTATTCCTGTGATGGCAAAGCTGAATTTTCAGCATCATTACTCCAGTCTTCAGTGTCACATGATCCTTCAGAAATCATTCTAACATGCTGATTTGATGATCATTATCAACGTTAAAAACAGTTGTACTGCTTTTATCGAAATTGTGATTTTTTTTTCAGGATTCTTTGATTAATAAAAAGTTAAAAAGAAAGAATATCTTTACTGTCACTTATTCAGTTTCTTACTGAATAATAGTGGTAATTTCTTAAAAAAAAGATGAAAAAAAAAAAATCTTACTGACCCCCAAATGGTAATGTGTATATATGAGATGGTCCCATTTAAGTTAGGATGCCATCTTAGAAGGCAGTTGTCTATGTAGGGAAGCAGACAGCAAGGCAGCTCACTAGGTTTCAGAGCCCCATTGAGCATGGCTGATCAAAGATTTTATTGATTGTCTCTGGTTGCTTTTTTTATTAAACACCCAATGGGTGGAGTCATCATGAGGGAGGGGCCACATGCAGAGAAACTCACTCCCCACACGTCCACACACACACACTTACTGTACTTGAGTGGCTCTTCCACAGGTTCACTCTCCTCAGACACTTTAGTGAGCGGAGAGAGAATGGAGAAGATAGAAACAGAACAAGAATACAAATAACAGAATCAGAGACAGCAGCCAACAGAAAGAGACAGTGAGAGCCAGAAAAACAAAAGAAATAAGACAGGAACAGAAAAATGAGCCTGAAGACCAAGAGAAAGTAGAGACATGATTTCTCATTAAATTCCACAATTAATTGTTAATTATGCTAAAACTCTGGAGCGGACAAATTTGATTTGGTGAATTGTGGGATGGCTAAAACTTGACAAAGTAAAACACTAAAGAACTAATTGTAATAAGTTGGCAAGACGGAGGAAGATCATTAAAGATTCGTGTTCTCTGTGTAATTGGAACAAATTGGCTGATATATCCTGTATATCACATGCAGATCTCCAAGATCAACTCAAACACTGACAGATGAAGCACATGAAATGCATGACAATATACTTTTTTCCGATCGGTTCAGGCCTGTGATATACAGATATAGGGTTCAGTGAACGTGAACTCCAAAAACACAAGAGTCCGTACACAGCTGGAATATCGATCTGAAGCACATGGCCCTCTCACCGTCCCTTCATCTAGCCATCCCATTCATGCATCCCTCTTCTACAGAAAGAAAAGTAAGCAAGTGTGTGTGGGATAAAGATATTCAGTATTGATCTGTTCATCATGACGAACAGCCGTGCCACTAAAACTTTGCCCATTCATTACACACACACACACACACACACACACACACACACACACACACACACACACACACACACACACACACACACACACACACACACACACACACACACACACACACACACACACACACACACACACACACACACACACACACACACACACACACACACACACACACACACACACACACACACACACACACACACACACACACACACACACACACACACACACACACACACACACACACACACACACACACACACACACTCACACACAGAGCACATGCACACTAAACACAACCAGATGATGCATGATTCACGATGCCGTCTCTCATAAGCACACAAAACCAAATTGTGTGTAACGGCCTTCACTGCTTGAGTGTATAGCTAATAAATTTATGACACCATGGCCTCTTTAAAGCATCTAAGGATTGTGTTTTCCCTGCCTTTATATGGGAAAGGCAGAATTTATTTCTTAAAGGAGTAGTTTGATGGATTTTCCAATGGCTTTTGAATTATTACAGAAAATAAGCTCTGTAGCCAACAAAAGTTTATGATTCTTACACATTTTGTTCATCGAGATAATCTTCTCAAATTAACACATTTTATCATGTGACTCATTCCCACAGTACTCTATCACTCTATTTTCATTTTTGGAACACTATCAAGTGTCCATAAATCTATAGATTCAGCTACACCAAAGTGAACTATATATTGCCTCACTTACAAGCACAGCTGATTAATATTAAACAGACAAATACATCTTGATGTAGACAAAGAACAGCGCTGTAAAGGTCTTTCAGACAGGTAATTTTTCACATGTCATGGACTACACTGTCATCATATTAAAGGGCAAATTAAAGGCCAAGCAAAAGTCACAAAACATCCTTAAAAGCTCTTTGAAAGAGCACATGGATTTGTAGTTTGCCTGGTGAGCGAAGTTGGAGCGAGAATGCCAATGTTGCAGATCTAAGCCAATTCTGTGATTCCTGCCACTTACTTGTAGTGGGAAGTCATTAACCTCATCAATTAACATTTAGATCGCTAATGAAAGGGCAACTGACATTAAATGGTCTAACTTGGTGTCTCCAAATGTCACAAGGACTATATATATCTAATGAAGGACAGGCAGTGATGCAGATGAGAGGGTCAATCCTGAAGCATCTCATATACAAAAAGAGGCTGTGTGCTAAACAGCATACTACCCCTGGAGTATAGAGCATGACTACTGTGCATACTACAAAGTTTCTTGATGCACAAAATACCTGTATGAACTACTTAACTTACCAAGATGTGCCAGGTATAACAGAGTATACAGTGGTATCCCACAATGCAATGCGTTAAACCTTCCATGTCAAGTGTGATGAAACGAAAGTAACCCACGGTACTTAATTTCTTGACTAATATAATCAGACTTCTAAAGAGTTTTAAAATAAATAAATAAATTCATAATTTATTAATTTACAAACACTTTCTTGATTAATAGGTTCAGACTACTAATACTTCTAAAGATAAACATTTTCTTAATATGTTTCGACAACTAAGATTTTTATTTGAAAATAAATACAAAATATATTTTTCTTTTATATATTAATTTACAAATTGTTTAAAAAAAAATTATAACTGTGCTATCCCATAATGCAATACATTAAATTGACCAACAATGTGTTAAATTTGTCTTCTTGACTAATATATTTTTCTTTTATATACAGCTATTCCTGTAGCTCAAACAGCAAAGCATGGTGTTAGCAACGACAAGGTTGTGGGTTCAATTCCACAGAATGCATAGATAAAAAAAAATATTATTTTAAGTCACTTTGGATAAAATCTTTTGGCCAGTGCAAAAATCTAAAAGTAAAAGTGTAATATATTAGTTCACAAATTATTTCAATATGTTAAGAAAAAAAAAAGTCATTACTGAGTGAAATAACCATACAACAATGAAGGTTACAACTGATGAAATGTACTGTATATTATTGTGCATTGTTCCACAATATAAACAGTATTTAGCATATACTGTTCAGTATGCAGTAAGCAGTGCTCTCTTGAACGAAATTGACCTCCTAGACAAACTACCCTCCCTCCTTCCCTCACCAAATCAGGCACACAATAGCCTTCTCAATAAATAGCATAACAATCTGCTTTCAGACAGAAGAGAAGAAGAATGGGACTGATGGGACAATCTTTGTCTTTCCACAATCAGCATACGGAGGAAAACATTAGTAATCAGACCAACAAACATTAGTAATCAGACCAAAAAAAAACAAACGCACACAGAAAAATAACTATAAAAGTAGGCACGGGTGCCTCAGTGTGTTAAGTTCTGATATGCAAGTCACTTTAGACAAAAGCATCTGCAAAACAACAAAGCAAGCATGCACTTTGAAATAACAAATGAGAAACTTTAGTAACAGTTGCTGGCTCTGTGAATCGCATGAATGCTCAGCACATGTCTCTCTGGCATTTTCAAGAATACGCACTAAACCCACATTAAAAAGAGATTAAACAATCTGTGGAAATGAAATGAGGAGACATGCAATGATTATCATGATAAAGTGCATATTTATGATTGGTGATTTGGTGCCGGACCTGGCAGACCCGATTGTGTGCGTTTCCAATAATGCTGCAGTATTTGTACAGATTTGTACGGGTAAATAAGACGGGCCGCAGGGAGACAGACAATCATCAAAGGACCTGGCAATAGAAAAGGCCTGTAATGTTACAGAAAACCCAACATTAATTAAACACTCTCCTCCTCCTTTATCCATTTCGCTCGGATTCTTTGTGCACTATCCACCCATCTCCACCTGTCATCCATGGGTTTCTGTTTCTCCTTACACTATCCTGCCTTCTCTCTTTTCATTTGCTTGCTCTGTCCACCCCAGGCAGACTTCTCTCCCTGTTCTTGTTTGGCAAGTTTAAAGTTTAGCTGTGAAACAGGATGTGCAGTTTGTGGTCTGAATTAGGAGAGACTTGGGATTCCAGACAGAAGACAGACAGAGTGAGAAAAACCTTCAAATGCTGAAAGCTGTCAAAATAAACTTCAGTCTACAGGAAAAAAAAACATCAGGTCAAACACACATCCAAAAACCATATGCATATGCAAAACAGAGTTCGGAAATATTTGTTTGTTAAATTTCCATGTTTTTGAATCTTTTTTCCCCTTCTTGTTTCTACAACAGCACTTCAAGTGCATCTCTACACATTTCTGTACACTTCAACAGAGGGTCTGCGGTAGTACCGCAGGGGTCCACCAATTATTGATTGATCTCAAACTATTTTTTTTAAACAAAAATAAAACATTAACCAAAGCTTAAGGTCAGCTATGTGTCATTCAGCAATGTCATTTATTTAAAAAAAAAAATAAAACTAATTTAAATTAAATTAAAATTAAAATATAGTATGTTCTTCTACACCTTCTCGTGAATAAGTTGAAGATGGTTTTGGAGTAAAAGCCTTACCATGGCAGAGTCCAATAAAAGCAAGTGTCACCTGCGAGAGCCCGGTGTTCACTCAAAGGACTAAAATTCTCTCTGCAGCGTTAATGCACATTCTACATGCAAAAAACACACAAAGAGAGCGGGGGAAAAAGGAAACATATCCTGTTTTTCCCCCTTTATTTCATTCTCTCCATCAGGGTGCAAGATAAGTGGATGAGAGGGAAAACAGGTCTATTATCAATTCCTCATTGCAAAAAGGGAAAGGACGAAGCGTGGATGAAAAATCATCTTTGCAAAATAAAGTCGTGGCTGCAAATGTATTTTAAACGAGCCGCTACATTACGCTGCTGATGTAAGAGCCTCACGCAGCAAATTGTAAATAAATTGTGCTGCTTTTATTACGAGACTGCTGCAAACAGAGAAAGAGAGAGGGAAACATAAAAGGATATTAGAAATAGAAAATAGGGAAGGGGGGGCCGGTGATGCTGAGCTTCAGCTTTTAAGACAGAGAAAGAGCTTTATTATGGTGTATGTTATCAGAAGTAGATCATTCACTGTCTAATCTCACTGTTTGCTTCCACACACACAAAAGAACACACATGCTCATCATTTATCACTCAACATCAACATCAATCTAAGCTCCATTACCCATGATCCTCTCTGACTAATCAACAGCTGGGTAAGACTCCTGCTAACCTCTTTGACCTCTACTCTATCATTTGCTTTGTGCACACACACACACACACACACACACACACAAAGGTGCACATAAACACCTCACACATCTCTGACGAAACTGTCCCCACCTACACAATGAAAAATGAAATGTAATTATCACAAATAAGTCTATACAGAAATTCACACTAAAT